TTTCCCAGTACATCTAACCTTTACATTTCCACGTTATTGAGAACACTTGAGAGATCTCCAGATACTTGGGCACACACGCTGAATTCAAAATTTCCTTCTCCATTTATTCACTGCTCAGAGACAGGAAAAGCAAACAGTGATGTATTGTCTAATGAGAAGCAAGGTCACTCTGGGCTTTCTGGATCTAAAGCAGCCCAAACACTGAAGATGATCCAACTGTCTCACCAAGACAGCCACTTCAGGATCTGCTTAGATAAAGCCATACTGCAACAGAGGGGAAGCTCCAGAAACACTTTTAGCACAGCTTTCCCCACAGCTCCTCTCCAGGTCTGATGCTCAATTCTTGATGCAAATTTTTCTTCCACTTTCATTTTGCAAGTCATTCATAGAGTTTTATAGCAGTTCTTTCCTTAATGAACGGAGGGAATGCACACTCCTGTAGAGAATGTGGTAGGAGGGATGATTACACAAGCAGGGCTAGAATATACTGACCACATTGTATCATGGAACCACGGAGGGACCTCAAAGCTCACCCAGTCCCCCTGCCATGGCAGGGACACCCCCCACTATCTGGTTGTTCCAGGCTTCATGCATGGCCTTGGACACTCCCAGGGATCCAGGGGCAGCCACAGCTTCTCTGGGCACCCTGTGCCAGGGCCTCCCCCTCCTCACAAGGAACAATTTCTCCCCAATATCCAATCCAGACCTCCCCTCTGTCAGTTTTGAAGTCATTCCCCTTGTCCTGGCACTGCAGGCTGCTCAGCAGCTTTCCAAACTCTGATCCCAGGACAAGGCACGGCTCACACCAAGCCCGGCACCAGCCCAGCTCAGCCCTCCCCTGCTGTGCTGGGACGGCAGGGGAATGACAGCCGTGCTACCAGAACACACAGGGAATTAAGGTCTGCCACTTCCAGCAGCCAGGGATGCTTTTCTCTCCACTCACAGCTCCCGTCCTTGTGATCCCAAGGGCACAGCCCAGCCTCGGGGGGGACAAACCGGCCGTACTGCCCCGAAAGGCCGGGGAGCTGGGGCTGCTCAGCCTGGAAATGAGAAGGGTGTGCGGACGCCTCGGAGCGTCCTGCAGCGTCTCAAGGAAGCCGGAGAGGGACTGCATCAGGAACTGGACTGACAGCACAAGGGGCTTCAGACTGAAAGAAGGGAAATTTAAATTAGATGTAGGGTAAAAATTCTTTCTTGTGAGGATGAAGAGCCACAGGCACAGATTGCCCACAGAAACTGTATCTGCTCCATCCCTGGAAGTGTTCCAGGCCAGGCTGGAGCAACCTGGTGGAAGCTGTTCCTACCCATTGCGGCTACAAGGAAGCCGGAGAGGCATCAGGAACTGGACTGACAGCACAAGGGGCTTCAGACTGAAAGAAGGGAAATTTAAATTAGATGTAGGGTAAAAATTCTTTCTTGTGAGGATGAAGAGCCACAGGCACAGATTGCCCACAGAAACTGTATCTGCTCCATCCCTGGAAGTGTTCCAGGCCAGGCTGGAGCAACCTGGTGGAAGCTGTTCCTACCCATTGCAGAGGGGTAGAACTGGATGAGCTTTAAGGTCCCTTCCAACCCCTTAGCATCCTATAACTCTGTGATTCTACGAAAGGCAGCTGAGCGGGTCTCCAGAAGCCCCCTCCGCGTCTGCCGGGAAGCTGTTCCTGCCCATTGCAGAGGGGTAGAACTGGATGAGCTTTAAGGTCCCTTCCAACCCCTTAGCATCCTATAACTCTGTGATTCTACGAAAGGCAGCTGAGCGGGTCTCCCGAAGCCCCCTCCGCGTCTGCCGCGCTTTACCGCATCTCTGTAAGCACTTTATAACACCGCTCCTCCCGGCCCCGCCGCTTCCCTCCCTCCCCGGCCCCGCCACGCCGGGCCCCGCGGGCGCCTCGCCGCCGCCTCAGCGCGGCTCCCCGGTTCACTCACGGCGTGCTGCGGTCGCTGTACTCGTTGGCGACAGTCTCGATGCCGCCGGCGCGGGCCACAGCCACGTAGCAGCTCTGGAAGCCCAGGTCGATGCCCACCACGGACATGGCGGCGGCGCTGAGGGGGGAGCGCGGTACCGGCAATTCTCGAAAGATCCCGTCGGGCCGCGGCCGCGCCGGCGCTGAGGGCGGCCGAGATCTCGCGAGAGCGCGGGGCTGAGGGCGGGCGCTCCGGGCGGGCTCTGAGGGCGCTCGGCGCCTTCTCCCTTTGCCAAAGTTCTTTCCTTGCGTTAGGAATGGCAGAAAAAGGCGATAAAGGCACAGCTTGGCAGCACTGCAGAGGTCGCCGAGTTGTTGCCCTCAGTGCGAAGCGGTCGGTGCCACAGAAAAGTTGTTTAGTGAAACTTTTTCCTTGCCCGTGATGTAAGGACCTGAGGGTGACAGGTGTGGTGGATGGGAACAGCGCGCACCATGAGATGTGATGATAATACAAGTACAGTCTCTGGAAACACGGTTTTTTCAGAAAAGGACTTAAACGCCTCCTTAAAATTTTTCTTTTGAGATTCAGACATTCCTGGAGATGTCCAAGGCCAGGCTGGACAGGACTTGGAGCACCCTGGGATGGCAGAAGGAGTCTGCCTATGGCAGGGGTGCCGTGAGGTGAGCTTTAGGGTCCTTCCAACCCAAACCATTCTGGAATTCAGTGTTGTGATTATTGCTGAATTACAGCAGAAAGTGCGAGGCTGGTTTTGATGATCCCAGGTTGAAAATCCAAGGTGTCATAATTTGAAATTGTGTTAAAAGATAATTTGATACCAACCGTGCTCCCAATAAAATTCAGCATTTGACTGCTCTATGCCCAGTAGGATTTACAGTACACTTGGTCTATAATCATCACAGAATATTTTAATATTATTATATCTCACTGGAGCCCTGTGCTGCAGTTTGGATGAGTACAGATACATTGTGTTTTCCAGGGCAGTGTTTGGCCACCAAGTGCTTTGTGGGCGTGTGGGAGAAAAGTCCTTTAAAGGATCAGGAATCCCTAAAGAGCTAAACAACTTACTTTATTTTTTAAATCCCTAGGAGTTCCTGGGACATTCCATGGTCCCAGCAGTGGAGGGGGCAGTGGGCATGGAGCTGCTCCCCTGGGCAGTGTGAAAGGTTCCATTTTGGGATTCATCCTAACACAAACCCAACCTTGATACTTACATCTGTGAGTTTCGTGAAACTGAATGTTTACAAATACTTTTAATTCCAGGATGAAACATGATGAAAACTTTGTGGCGGTGCAGCGTGCCACAAACAGAGCGTTACCAAGGGCCCAGGGCTGTATTTGCACGGCTGCTCCTTGTTGTAGTGACACAGAAAATACACCCAGAGACACTCACTAGTGCAGGCAGGAGGGACTCCTGCCCCAGAGCCATTGCCTGGCTCAGCCATTCTGCTCTGGCAGCTGCAGGGGACTGGGAATTGCCTCGGGAATTGCATCACCGTGCTAATGACGTGATCTTAATGAAGTGTTTGACCTCGAGCATCCTTGTGATGCCTTCAGTTGGAGCTTTGATATTTCCCAGACTCTGCACTGCCCTGGTGCAGAACTCTGAACTCCACATCAAGTGTCAGCAGCTCTCCTCACAGCTCAGGCACACAGAACAATCCTTTTCCAGCCCAGAACCAAGGACACCGCTGCAGCTTCAGCCCAGAAAGTGCCACCAACAGGGAATGGAGGAGAGCAATCTGGGAGGATGGGACTGCATCAGCTGGAGCTGGAATGGGACACTGAACCCCAGTATGGAATGGACCAAAACTGATCAAAGAGTGAGAAAAACCAAAACTGATCAAAGAGTGAGAAAAACCAAAACTGATCAAAGAGTGAGAAAAACCAAAACTGATCAAAGAGTGAGAAAAACCAAAACTGATCAAAGAGTGAGAACTCGTGGCCAGGAGTCCACCTGGGGTGGAGCCACGGCCGGGCTCCTGCACTGCCCCAGGTGTGTCCTGGGAAGGTTTTTAATAAATCCCTGCTTTATTCCTGAACTCTGCCCAGCCTCTGTGCCCTGCAGCCCCTCAGGCATCCCCTGAGCGCAGCACAGGCTGCCAAGGTCCTGCCCTGGCTGCTGCCCCGCCTGGGGAATGTGCAGCCCAGCTCCCTGTTGGGTTTTTCACCCGGCTTTTCCAGAGGGAGCCAGGGAGCAGAGCCCGGTGCCAGAGGGGATCTGGGTGCCCCGGGGTGACCCTGGGCTGGCAGGGAGCTGGGGGAGAGGGCCGCTCTGCGTTCCTCAGAGATCCAGCCCGGGCTTCACTCAGGGCAGGGGGCTCTCCTGACCCCAGCCTGCAGCCCCCAGATATTAAGTTGTTTGTCCTAGAGCAGTCCCAGCTCAGTCTGGGAATCCATTAACGCCGGCCAAACACCACCGCGAATGTGGGCTTGAAATAACCCCCGGCTGCTGCCTGTCACCGGCTCTTCCTCGGGCTGCTGGGAATAGCCCTCACACGTCAGCCCACCTGAGGTTCACCAGACTATTCTGGGATAGCCAAACACGAGAGGGGTTGTGATCCGCTGAGGGACCTGCAGCCAAGCTCTGAACCACAGCTCTCCAAAATCCCACCTCCCTGTGCTGCCAGCAGTTCCCAGCAGCCGTTTCCATCGCTTCCCTCAGGTCAGCAATTTGCAGGGAAATCAACATTAAAATGACACATTTCCTTTTCTTCTGGTTTCATAGCATTCCATCAAACCTGAGAGAGAATTAGATAACACGGCTTTCCAAATTAAACCATCAGAGCTGGATGACTGCCCACTGAACAAACCTCAAAGTATCCGGGACGGGACAGGGACAGGGACACGAAAAGGGACCGGGACAGGGCGCTGCAATGACATTGTGGGAGCGGCAGGGGCGAGAGAGAGTGTGCAGGCCGGCGGGCGCTGCCGCTCTGGCCGCCGGAGGACTCTCTCTATGGTCCAGGAGGTCTTACTCTCTATGTCCCTGGAGGTCTAATTCTCTATGACCCCGGAGGACTCTCTCTATGGCGGCCGTGCTCTGCCCACAGGGCCGCATGTCCCGGCATGCCCCGCGGCAGACTCACTTCCGGCCAGGCCGTTAAGATGGCGACGCCCATGCACCGGCTGATTGCCCGCCGACAAGCGTGAGTGGGACCGGGGGCGCCGCGCGGGGCGGGCTCGGGCTGAGGAGCGGCGGGCGCTGCTGGGGCCGCGGCGCCAGGCGTTTTCCCGGCGCTCTGCGGCCTCCGCGCCGTGTCCCGGGAGGGGGCGCAGCTCGGCCGCGGGGAAACCGCCCCAAAACACGGCGGGGGCGAAACGGTGGCGGCCTCGGGTGTCCTGCACCGCCGGGGCTCGTCCCGCGAGAGCGGCGTGTAGAGGCTGAGGGAGCTGTTGGCCGGGGGAGCGTTGGGAGCGGCGCCCGGGGTCATTTCCCTGCTCTCACCGCAGACCCAGCGGTACAGACGTGGAACAGAAACCTCCAGGTTGATGCTGTCGTGAGGAGTTTGCGGAGCTGTCGGGAAGGCAGGGAAAAGCCGAGCGCTCTTGCTCAGCCGGGGGTGTTGCAGTCCAGGAATTCCCTCAGCGCCGGGGGGATCCGATTGCAGAGCCCTGGAGCGAGGAAACCACGCTTTTGGGGGTTTTTTTGTGCAGGAAATGTGTGTCCCAGCCCCCTGGGGTGCTGGCATTGGTTTTTCAGCTCTTTGTTGGTTTGGGTGTTGTTTTTTTTCCTTAAATTAGTTTATTTGTTTCAGTTTTTGGGCTGTGGGGTTTTTGAAAACCACGTTTTTGGTTTTTTTTTTTGTGCAGGAAATGTGTGTCCCAGCCCCCTGGGGTGCTGGCATTGGTTTTTCAGCTCTTTGTTGGTTTGGGTGTTGGTTTTTTTTTCCTTAAATTAGTTTATTTGTTTCAGTTTTTGGGCTGTGGGTGTTTTGCCCAACCACAGTGTGCAGAATGTGGTCGATTTCTTTGTGATCTAGCAATAATTTCTTTTCTATTTTCCAGTGAAAAGTAACTCGGGGTTCCAAAGTGCTCCTGGAACACTTGTTCTTTTTGCTGTTTTATTGGAGTTGAGGACTCGTTTTTAGCTTTGATGTCTTTGTGCTTGCTGGGTCTGTGCTGAGCTGTCCCTCTGCTCCAGGCCTGGGGTCGCTGACCCCTGCCCAGAGTTTCCTCCAGTTCTGTGCCCTTCATTAGTGCCAGGCTCGTCAGTGCTCTGTGCTTTTGTGATGTGCAGCTGCTGAGCAGGGCTGCTGTTCCCCTCTCAGCTCTCTTGGCTTTGGGGTTTTCTCCTGACCCCTTTATCTCCACGGAGCTGCCTGCTGGGGGGCGCAGTTCTGCAGCCCCAGCTCTGGGGCTGCTCCTGGGGAGGGGCTGAGGGGACAAACACGGCTTTGTGTTTGTGCTGAGGAGGAGGAGGGGGAGCCATCACTGCTGATTTACCTGCTGAGGCCAGGGGGCAGAGGCAGAGCCTTTCCTGCTCATTCCCAGATGTTCTGGTTCCTGCCCAAGGCCAGGTTCATTGTGCTCTGCAGGTGGGAGTTTAATCAGGTTTTTGTGCTGCTTTAGCTGAGTCTAAGGCCTGAGGATGGAGCCCAGTGCTCTGCATTGAGACAGGGAGGAATGCTCAGCACAAGGCTCCCTGCAGGAACTGGCACAGAGTGGTGGCTCAAGCTGAGGGAGAAGCAATTCCCAGCCTGGCTGGCAGAGGGGAAATGCTCCCTGCTGGACTGTCACCTCGTCCTCACATGGGCCTGGGGGCTTCCTAGAGCAGCCCCCTGCACTTTCAGAGAGTTCAGATGGGCTGGCCTTGAAAAATTCATGTTTTAGTGCTTGGAGCAAGAACTGCAGGTGGCAGGAAGGGACAGCAGTGGCAGGGAGCCCTGAGCTCAGGACTAATTTTGGCTGTGACCTTGGGCAGCTCCTGGGCTGGGTGAGTTCCCTCCTTTGTGAAGGAGGAGAGCAGCTGGGACAGGAGGCAGAACAGCTTTGCAGAGCTTCAGCATGAAACATTCCAGGAGTTTTTCCCTTCCCTGATGTCTAAAAACGCCCGTGGGATTTTAGCAGAGCCCTGGAATGGAGGGTGAAGTGTCCCTGCTGCTGCAGGTGTTTGGGATGGGGCAGCCAGGGAGGTCTGCCTGGAGTCACTCTGCACAGGAGGAGCAGGAATCTGATTGTCCCAAAGATAAACTTTGTGCCAGGCTTTACCAGCTCCCAGTGGAGCTTTTTGGGGAGCCTGGGAGCCTCTCAGAGAGTCCTGGGCTCTGGGTGAGAGTTGGGCAGTTTGGGACTTGGGTGTTACATTTCAGGAACTGCAGGAACTGGAAATGCTCTGTGTTCTAAACCAGAACTTCAGTGATTTCTCTGAAGCCAGAACCACCTGCAGCTGTTGGATAGCACAAAGTGAGCAGTGTGATAGTGTTTTAATTAATGAAGATCTGTGTGCCTGAATTCTGTGTTTACTTGGGGTTACTGCCCATGTCCTGATGCAAAAGAAAACCTGTGAACATCTGGTTTAATCATAGCTTGATTAAAGCTGCATGATAAAAAACTAACTGTTTTTTAGTAGAGGGTAGAGCAGACCTGGAATGAGTTACTTAAGCAATTCTGCATTTTTCTAGGGAGGCAAACAAGCAGCATGTGAGGTGTCAGAAGTGTTTAGAGTTTGGCCACTGGACCTATGAATGTAAAGGGAAGAGAAAATACCTGCACAGGCCTTCAAGGACAGCTCAGCTGGCCAAAATCCTTAAGGAGAAAGAAAAGCAGCTCCTGCTGCAACAGAGGTAAGACTGGCAAGATGAAATGTCTGGTTTGTGATTGAAATAAAAGATGTTGTCCCAGAACATCTTCTGTGATCTTTCCCTCCAGACTGTGGAATGTGTGCTTGATTTAATGTTAGAGCTGATCTGTGTGTTGGGTGAAATATGTCCACTCAGGTCCAGAGAATTCAAATCAATGTTTTAATTTCATCAACACCTGCTCATCTGAAATACATTTAAAACTCTTTTGGCCTGTCTGAAACAAAAGCTGTGCACTGACCCAAAGTTCAGTCAGTTGGAGCCCTTTTGGTAGTGGAGCAGTTTCCTGAATTCCTTGGTTGCTTGGTTTGTTGTTTCTGTGCTGCCCAGGCAGTGAGAGCTGTGGATTTATTTCCAGCAAAGCAGCAATTCTTCCCTGTGTCCAGATCTGCTGCTCAGAGCTGCAGTTAAACCTGGCCCAGCTGCTCCTGCTGCCCCTGGGAGCTGCAGGGCTCAGACAGCTGAGGGAGAGCTGGGTTATCAGCTTAAACTCAAGCATCAAGTGAAAACAGCTCCCTGAATTGCACAATTATTTCCTCTTGTGACAGCCCAGAAGGGGGAAGGAGCAGAGAAACCTGAACAGAGCTTGCCTGTGGCACCTGATTTCCTTTCCCCTTTGCCCTGGGAGTACTTTACTGCTTCCCCCCAGGTTAATAATTGCTTTAACAAGCAAAAGTAATGCAGCACCTCAGTTTCCATGCAGTTCCATGAGCCAGGGTCTTTTCTGCCACTCCAGTTGGGTTTTGGGAGCTGCAGAGGGACAGGGTCACTCCCAGTGCCACTCCTTGCACCTGGAATCCCTGAGGCTCTGGCCCCGTGTCCTCAGGCACTGCCCCTGCCGGGATGGGAGGTGGGGACAGCATTCCCAGCTTTTGTCCCTGCTGGTGGCACAGGCAGGGCTCCTTGGGCTCCAGCCCTGCAGCAGTTCTGAGTCACAGCTGAAACCCTGCCTGCAGTGGAGACTCATCAGATTGAGTGATGTAAAGTGATTGATTTTGAAATTAATTCTCATCCAGTGAGTAATTGTGAAGTAATTAGAGTCACCCAGTGTTGTAGATAGAGCAGCAGTGCTTGGACTCTGACACTTGGCTCCATTTGGAGGCAGTCTCTTCAGAGACTCAAGATTTTTAGGCTAAGTTTGAGGCTCAGATTATTTCCTTGTTGCTTTTCTGCCCCTTTTCTTGGGGGTTCTGCAGGTTACCACTGGAGGATGGTGAATTGAAGGTGAAATTCCTTGTCCTGTCCTTGGGCTTGAGCCTAAGTGTGGGATCACTGTGTGGGAGTTACAGGACTGGCCAGTCTGGCACACAAGGAGGTTTGGGGCAGGTGCTGGGAAAAATCCTCTTGAGAAAGGAAGGCTGAGCCATCCCCAGGTGGGAGCAGTGTTTAATCTGCACTTAAACCTGGGGCTGCATTCCCAGGGCTTCTGGCACCAGGAGCTCCTCAGCTGTGCCAGGAGGATCCTGTCCCTCAGCTGCCAGGGCTGCACTTCCAAGGATGAAGCTTTTCCTTCATGGAAAAACAACTTCCTGAGTCACACTTGTGCTTTTTGTGGCACTTGCTTTGGGAGGTTCTCCTTGCTGTTGGAGAAGTTGGGTCTCCCAGAGTTCTGCTTTGGACAGCCTGTGTCACCACCTTTAAAAAGCCACACAGGAATCATTAACCAGAAGGCAAAACCCAGCCTAAAAAGGTCAATATTTACCTCTGATAACTTCATCCAGGCTTTTCCAGCATGAATGCCTTTTCCAGTTGTTCCAGCTCCCTGTGCTTGCCTGGTGTTGGCCCCACGATTCTGGTGGTCCCTCTGGAGGTGTCAGTGAGCCCCCAGTGCCTGCCAGCCTCGAGCAGGGAGCTGAGGGAATGCTCATTCCTGGGGGTGTTGGAGCTCTGAGCCCAGCCCTGAGCTGGGTTTATGCCTCAGTTTAGGGAGGGAGTGTCCAGAGCAGGTCTGGCCTGAGCACAGTAGGAGCTCCTGGATAACTGTTGAGTAACCCTCACCTCACACATGAGGGGGAGGCACTCCCTGAGCTAGGTCCTGTCTCCTCAGAGGTGATTTGGGGTTGAATTCTGTTCTCACAGTGACTCCTCCTACCTGGGAACCCCCTGCTTACCTGCAGAGGGTCTGAGGCCTTAGGAATGTAAATATGGATGGCAGGGGTTGGAATCTGAATGTCAGAGTCTTCCCCTTGCCCACAGGAGAGCGTGGGGAGTGGGGAGAACCCCTGTGTGCTGATAATGTTTGCATGCCTTGTGTGTGAAAATAAAAAATTGCAGAAATCTCATTTTTCTGGTGGCACACAAAGAACTTTCTTGTGTGGCACCACTAAAACTGTGTGAGGGGATGAACACTTGGGAATCTGACAGACACACAGCTGGAAAGCATCAATATAAATGGACTTTTCTGTTTCTTTTTGTACTTGAAAGAAATGTGAAAGCTGCAGGCTAAGTCAAGCTTTTACCCTTGATTTCAATCAATTCACTTATTGCTAAGTAGAGTTACACACAACTTCTTTGTATCCTTTTCTCCTGTGCCTTTCACATCCCAGCTCCTGCTGTCCATACAGAATGATCCAAAGGGGAGAGCAGAGCACAAATAGCACAGAAAATTAGGGGTGAACTGCTGGGTTTTCCTCCCCTGGCTGTGGGTTTTGCTCTGCTTTGCAAAGGACTGAGCTGCCCAGTGCCCTTTGAACATTAAACTCAGCCTCAGTGTGCTGCTATTTATTTCATTTTCCTATTGCATTAATCAAAGCCATTATTTTTCCTCCCTTAATTAGCACTGCAGAAAGTGCTGCAGAAAAGAAGACCAAGAAAAAAAGGTATGTGGGGACTGGTGGGGCTGGCCCTGCCCTGGCTGTTCAGCAGGACTTTGGGAAGGGGCTTTGCAATAAGTTTTGGTTGTACTGCTTTGAGGCTGTTACAGCTTTTGTCTGACAGGCATCTGGAGAATTTCTACTCCTCCCTGTCCAAAATATCTCAATTTTATTCTCTGTTTTTCTCCCTGCTGGTTTTCCTCCCCCTGCATGATCTTGCTGTAGGAATAAAATTCTTCCCATTTCTGCCTCAGAGTCCCTCAGGAGTCTCTGAAACAAGACTGGCACAGGGGGTTCTGGTCTCTCATTGCTTCTGCTCTTTTCATTCCCTTCTCCTGCCAGTTCTCTCTCTCAAGCTTTGTCTAGAGGATGAAATAAAACATCTTAAAAAACTCAACCCCAAAACCAAACAAAACCCCCTTGATCCCCAGCTGAAGCAAAATCCAGGCAATGACCCTGGCCCTCTCCACGTCCTGGCTGGAGCCAGGAACTCTTTTGACTTTGTTTGTACTTTACCTTGCATTAATGTTTACCTGGGAATTTGCTTTCTTAGCAGATGGAAAGGAGGAACAGCCAGAACTGTGGCTGTAACACTCCTGGAATGGGTGTTTTACACCAGGGAATGTCTGTGCAGTACCAGCCCAGCTTCTCTTCCCCTTTAGTGTCACTCCTGTGTCCCTCAGTGTGACCTAAGCCAGTTTTCAGGAGGTGTTTAAAGGCCAGGCCTTTGCTGTGTGTGGCAGGCAGTAAATAAGGCAGAGCAGATCTTTAAAGTGTTCTTTATTCCAGGCTGTCCTGTGGAATGGGCTTTATTGCAATGCTGGGCTGCCTCAGTGTGTTCTAGCAAAGGCTGCTTTCCCAGAAGTGCCAATTTATTGCTGGACTTGCTCAGGACTGGTGAGATCATGAATTTACTGGTTTTGAGCTGGGCAGCTCAGGCCTCTTCCTGCCTCAGCTTCCTCAGACACTGCAGCCTTTGCTGGCATAATTATTTACAGAGTGTTTGAGCTCCAAACCAGTGCAAGAATGGACAGAGCTAAAGGGTTCATGGGGAAGGGGGTGGTTTGGGCACTTTTTCCTTGAGATTTTAAAAGTCTTGTAGATTTGAGTTATTCTCCTGCTTCTATGCAAGCCCAGAATAATCCATCAATATAAATTCCTTTCCAGTCAGTTTGCTATTTAGATTTTTATTATAACATGGGAAGAATTAAATGTGGACAGTGCAGCATATTTATAAGTTCAGATTTAAAATAAAGCTGTAAAAATTTGGGTTCTGGCAGAAGGAGCACGAACCTTTTCCACAGAGTGTGTTTGTTTTGATATAAACACTAATAAGGGAGCTCAGGCCTAACCAGAAAAACAGGCTGAGGCAGAGCAGCTGCTGCAGAGCCCTGTGACCTCAGGTGACAGAGCCACCTTCCAGGTGCTCCTTGGCCTGTGTCCCACCCAGAATGCCTGAATTCCCTGCTCCTTCCTTCCCTGCTCCTTCCCTGCTCTCCTCAGGCCCCAGCTGTGCCCACAGTTGTGGCTTTTGGATGTCAGTGGCACTGGAAAGCCCTGGGGTGTCAGAGCAGGGTGCCAGCCTGGGGGCACAGCCTGGGCTCCAACAGCACTTGGCCCTCACAGGGGCACAGAACCAGAGATGAGCTCTTGGAAACTTGTCCTGAGGAGGATGAATGGTACCTGCTTTTAAAATTCTGTGCTTTCCAGAGGTGTGATAGACCCCACAATCTGAGACCACCAGCCTGCAGGCTCTGCACTGTCACTCTCCCAGATGGTATTTTGAGTTTTACCTGTCCCCATCTCCATCCTCCTGCTGTCAGCACCAGCAGCCCACGTGTTGCCTCCCCTCAGAACAAGTTCCTGCCTGTTTCCCCTGGGAGAGGCAGCTTTAAGTGCAATATCCTGATGTTTCTGGGAGTGGGTTTTGGAATAAACCTAAACACTGGATGTCCATGGGTTGCTGCTATGGATTCTGTGAAAGGTGATCAGGAAAAGCAAGTTCAGAGTCAGTCAGGAGATCCTCTCATTCCTGCCCATCTCATGGAACTGCTCAGATTGAAAGTGCTACTCCCATATTTTGTATTTTGCTCATCTTAGTGCTGTTTTATTCCCCAGACAAGTCAGTGTTTGAGCAGCCCTTATGGATTTATCAGTAGTGAACAGTCGTTGTGTCTGCACACAGAGACTGCAGATTACAGATGTATTATAAAAACTTCAGTGCTTTGTGGCTTAATCCACACCCACATTTGTCAGCTGACAGGGCTGATATGATGAAAAAGCCTCACACTCTTCAATAACCTTAACACAGGCACTTCCTGAGCTGTTACATTGCACCAAACCCTCTGATAAAAAATACTGCATTCATTTTCTAATGGAAACAAGATTCTGCATTATCATAATTTATATTTTTGGATGCTCTTTGATTGACTTTGGTGGGAAGGAGGTGAATCAGTGTCTTGTACTTCAGGAAAAGATCTCTGGGAGAATTGAATTGTACTTTCTTGGAATTTATATCACCCCCTTAAATCAGAGACATTGGTCTTGAGAACAATGGCCCCAGGAAGGGCTGAGCATGAAAAAAAAGTGCAGAGCATACAGAAATCCTCTGCTGTGTTCATCATTCTGTCTTAACCTTGGATTGTTTCCACCCTTCTCCTCCACCTGGAAAACACGAGCATCCTGTAGTGGCAGGTACTTTGGGTTCCTCTGCCAAGAGTAATCTAAGAACAGTTTTTGCTGGGAACAGCTCTGGCCTCGGTGAAATCTCTGCTGGAACCTCCCCTGGCTCTTGCAGTGGCAGAATTTCCCCGTTGCAGTGGTGAGGCAGGGACTGAGCCTGGCTCATTTTCCCCAGGGCTTGGCTGCTTCAGGGCAGCCAGGCCAGCAAAGCCCCTGCTCAGGGCCAGGAATCCTGGGCAGCTTTCCCTCCCTGCTGTCCTGTGGGCTGTGTCACACCCTGGGGCCACTCTGCCGTGGCTCAAATGGCCAAAATCCACTGACCCAGGGGAGGGCACAGGGATTCATCCTAGGTGGTGAGGCCTGGAAATTTCCGTGGTGAGGTGTGGAAATTTTCAAGGCAAATAATTGATCTTTGGATTATTGCGACAGAGCAGAGGGAGCACTCTGTGTGTGAGGGGCTTGGCAGGGCTGTGCTCAGCTCTTTGTTCTCTCTCAGGTCCAAGAGTGTGACCAGTTCCAGCAGCAGCAGCAGTGACAGCTCAGCCAGCGACTCCTCCTCCGACAGCGAGGACTCCTCTTCCTCCTCCTCCTCCTCCTCGGACAGTGACAGTGAGGACAGCAACTCCTCCTCCTCCTCCCCCTCCTCCAGCAGCTCTTCCTCCTCCTCCGACTTCGAGTCGGATTCCAGCTCCTCCAGCAGCAGCAGCAGCAGCAGCACAGACAGCAGCTCTGAGGATGAGCCCCCAAAGAAGAAGAAGAAGAAATAGCTGGGGAGGTGCAGGACTGGTGTGGAGTGAGTGACACTGCCCTGCCAGGGCTGGAGCACACGGCTGCCAAGCACTCAGTGGTCAACATTTCTCCTGCTCCCATTTCTTAGTGTTCTGCATAGTTGTTCATAGGACATGGAAGGGATTAAATGGCACGTGAGACTTAATGAGAGAGTATTTTTGTGGTTTATCCTTTTACGGAAGATTTTACTTTTTTAGCTCCCAAAAAAAAAAAAATTCTATCATCAGATTTGTTTATAAGAGCTAAAGTCCTGTAGCAGCTAAACCTGGATGTTCACATGCTGGAAAGCAAAAGCTTTTTTTTTTTTTTTTTGTTGCAGATTATGCTGTGCATCATGTACTGTTCCTCTGTTAATGACAGCTTCACTTCCATTGAGAAAAATCCTCTAAACTGTTAAAAGCAGAAGTTTTTCAGTGCTGCTGTGGAGCTGTGGCATTGTTGAACCTGAATGCACAACGTGTCCCACCCAGATCCTCCCACCTCGCTGGTGACAATCGGGTTCTGTGCTGCTGAGCTTGTGTTCCAGTGGCTTTTCCTGATGCTTCCAGGTGCAGTCCTCACTGCAGCACCCAGCTGAGCTGTGTTGGTTTGTCCCTGTGCTTGTGCTGCCCCGTGTGCTTGGCTGTGTGTTGGAGGTGTTTGCTGAGACACAGGGCTGGTTTGGAGGGCAGCAGCTCGGGGAATCGGGGCTGCTGCTGCTTCAGGAGTTTCATCTTTGTGCCTTTTTTTTGTAAATTCAGTGTACCCCAGAGACAAGGGCTGGAGTGGGTGTTCTGCAGGGCTCCAGCAGAATATTCCCATCTGTTAAATGGGCAGCAAAACCAGAGAATTAATTACAAACACAACTGGGCACTGCTCTCTCTGGATGCTCAGTAAAACAGAGACTCCCTGAAGTGAAGGTCTCAAAGGAAAGTGTTCCCCTCTGGATGTGTTTCCCAAGGAATGTGTGAATGCAGGATGGCCAGGCTGTGCTGAGTGGCAATCTGCAGGAATCCAGTCATTCTTTGACTCCAGTCTGCAGGAATCCAGTCATTCTTTGACTCCAATCTGCAGGAATCCAGTCATTTTTTGACTCCAGTCTGAAGGAATCCAGTCCTTCTTTGACTCCAATCTGCAGGAATCCAGTCATTTTTTGACTCCAATCTGCAGGAATCCAGTCATTCTTTGACTCCAATCTGCAGGAATCCAGTCATTCTTTGATTGTGGGAATGGTCCTGGAGAAGCAAGTGAGTGCAAACCCCACAAAAGCAGATCCAAACTCGCTGCAGAACAGGGATTGCTGGATGCAGAGTGGGAATTGTTTGGTTTTCTGGTGGATTGAAGCAGTTGCTGTTAGTGTTCTATTTGGTGATGCATTCTCCTGAATTTCTTATTGTTGGAGTGCCCTTTTGGGGAGGGGGCATCACTTGTGGAAGAATTCTCAAGTATCTTGGTTTAGGTTAAATACAGTTACTAAACTATTTTTTATATTTTTTATGGAAAGAGTAGTGTGTAGACTTACTTTGGAATAAACTGTACTTATTTAAATGTTTGAAAATCCCCATGATGTGTGTCTGTCTGACCACTCCTGTGTTTTACAGAACACGCTGCAGGCTGTAAATAAAACTACCAGAAAGGTGTTCAAGTCTTGTGGAGTGAATGTGCCATTCAACGGGAAAGTGAATCGATTATTAAACACTAGTTGCTACCTTGAGGCTTACTGCAAATATCTGAAATATTTGTGGTGTTTGTGAGCAGGTTTCAGCCGGAGCTGCCCTGGCATTCCCTCACAGAGGGGCAGGACTGCTCCCCAGGAAGTTCTCCGGCCGGAAGGCCTTCTGTATCAAGATTTTTTTGTTTAATTTAGTTTCAAATACAATGTTTGTACTGGTTTTTTTTTTTTTTCCCTTCCTGCCTTTTCTGGCTACTTTGTCTCTGTGTTGGCATTTTACAGAGTATTCCCCGAGCCTGGCCGGAGCTGTCCATCTGCCGGTGCCTCCCACGAGCCGTGCTGGCGGATGAGGAGTGTTTGGTTTTGTAAAAGCCCCGTTAACCGTGCCGCTTCCCGGGCTGCCCTCGTTAACCCCTTCGGCTCCGGGCCCGGGGCTCCGCGTCCCGCTCGCCGCCGCCAGGGGGCGCCGCGCGACTCTCCCGCCGCCGCCGCGCGAGGGAGGCGGGGCCGGGCCCTGGCCACGCCCCCTGCGCGCTCGCGCTCCGCCGGGGTCACGTGGTTTTCTCCCCGCGCGTCACGTGATCGGGGCGGCGGCGGCGCGCGGGGGGCGCCGGGAAGCGCCAGGCAGCACCGGGGCCGCGCCGCCCCCGCCCCGGGACATCCCGGGACATCCCGGGACATCCCGGCCCCCCCGCGGGCGGCATCGGCCGCTGCGGGCGCATCTCCCGGCGGGAAGCGCGGGTTCGGCCGCGTCGCGCCCCGCGGTGACAGCGTGCGGAGGGCGGGGGTCGCTCCCGGGGGCACGGCCCGGGCTCGCACCGGCACCGGCACCGGGCTCGGGGCCGGCGGGGCCGCTGCGCTGCCCGGCCCGGGGATGGATTTAATCCTGGTCCGGTAATTGACGTCAGGGCTTTGTTCCTTCCCCTTCGCTCTCCGCACGGGCTCGGGGCCGGAGCCGCTCCGGGACGGGCCGGGGGGCTCGGGGGGCCCGGGCGGGGCTCGCCGGCGGAACCGGCTTCGGGCAGGTGCTGCCCAAGGGCCGGGGAGGCAGAGCCGGCCTTCGGACACAGCCCGGCCCAGAGGCGGCTGTTATGTAAAGGCTCCTGGCCGGTGCCGTGGAGAAGGAGCCCTCGCTCAGCAGTCCCGCGCGGAGCTTTTCCCTTTTTTCCTTTTGCAATGAGCGAAACAAAGCGAGCGAGCGTTGCGGTGTGTAGCCCGGTACCTGCGCTCCCTGCCGGGTCCGTGCTTCTGTTCTGGACTCGGGCGGGTGTTGCGCTGGATTTTGGGGGGAGCTGCGTGCCAAAGCTCGCTCGCAGCCTGGGAGGTGCTGCGCTGTGCAGAAGGAGCCCGAGAAGGGGCGGCCGTGGGGCCTGCTGTGCCCCCGGCTCACCTCTCACCTCATCACAGCCTTGTTTGATCATTTTCTCAGCAATGCCGGTGGTTTTAAACGTCCCCGTGTTCACAGCCGTGCCCCTGTGTCCCTGAGCTGCTTCTGCTCAGCTCGGTGTGTTTGTTTGTCACCTGGGCTCCCTTCCAGCTGCTGAACTCTCAGGTGTATTTCTGGTTCCTGGCGTTCCTTTAGAACTGCTGAATTCTTCTCTCGGGTCCCTGGCGAATGGGGATTTGCAGCCTGGGGGGGTCATTGCAAAACAGGGTCTGGGGGAGTGCTTTGCAGGAGTGGTTGTGCACCTGATGGGTCATTTCATGGCTCCTCTAATGAGGGGAACGTGATTAAACTGCCAGCCTCCAGGTGTGGGACAGTCCCAGTGTCACACTGGAGTTACTCAGTGGTTGGACTGGGACTGGGGCAGGTCTTGTTGGTCAGGAGCAAAAGGGAAAATTTATCTTTTGGCAGTATTAATACCTTGGCTTTATTAACGTGTCAATGTTGATTTTTGGCATTTGCTGCCTCCTGCACGGGGTGTTTGCAGCTCTGTGTGAGAGCAGACTCTCCTGTGTTCAGGAATGAGACAAGCCTGGAATATCCTGAGCTGGAAGGGACCCACAGGATCATCCAGCTCAGCTGCTGGCCCTGCACAGCCCCAAAATCCCACCCTGGGATCCCTGGAGCTCTGCCCAAACCCTCCTGGAGCTCTGGCAGCCTCAGGCTGTGCCCATCCCTGGGGAGCCTGGGCAGTGCCCAGCACCTCTGGGGGAAGAACCTTTCCCAAAATCCACCCTGACCCTGCCCTGGCCCAGCTCCAGCCCTTCCCTGGGCCCTGTTCCTGCCACAGGAGCAGAGATTGGAGCTGTAGCCTCAATGAGCTCTAACCTCGGGCTCCTCTTCTCCAGCAGAGCAATCCCAGTGCCCTCAGCAGCTCCTTCTTGGTCCTTCCACACCCTTCCCCATCCCTGTGTCCCTTCTTTGGATCAGCTTTTTATTTTTTTGTATTGTGGCACCCAAAAGTGCCCCCAGGACTCCAGTACACTTTAACAGCAATGAGGGAAAAGAGTAGGTTTCAACTCTGCTCAAAATCTGTCTCAGGTCCCTGATATTTCCTCTAAACATCTCTGCAGTTCTTGTTTTATGACTTTTCTCCTTGTCTCAAACATTGAGCGAGTGAGGCTGAGCCCCTGGGTCAGCTTTTGTGTGAGAAGCCACACAGCAACCCAGAAAAATAATTCATATTTATGTGTTTAGCATTCTTGCCAGTTCTAGTGACCTGGGCTTGATAATCCACGATAAAACCCCAGTGAAATATGGCTTGCATGTCTGGGATGTTTTTTTAGGAAGCTGGAATGTGCAGATGCTTTTGCACGCTTACGACCCAGTTCTTTAATGAGAAGATGCCACGTTTCTGTCTGCACAAACCATGGAGTTTGCTTCTTGGGGGCCTTGTGGATAAAGAGCTGCAGCAGAAATGTGTCCTGAGGCTGCAGCTGGCCCATGACAGGGTGGCATTTGCCACCACTCGCTCCTGTGGCTGCTGGCAGGTGCGTGCTGCCCCGGTGTTTTCCAGCGTGGGTGCTCCCGTGTCGGATGTGACTAAGGACATGCGTGACCTTACTGCCTGAGACAGCCCTGGCATCTTCTGCCTGGCAGCAGGGACTCTGTGACCAGGTGATGGTGGAACTGCTGTCATCGTGTCCCTCGCTGCGTTTCCAGCGCTTGGCACAGGTGCCAAAGCTGCTGGTGACTGCTCTGATGCCTCCCTCCCTTCCCTTCCTGCTCATCCTCTCGGTCTGGGGCTGCTGTCATCATCGCTGCTCTTACTCTTTGCTCCAGATCATCAGAAATTTGCAGTGTTGAGGGAGGAAGTACTGAGAGTTGAGTCTTGAGGGCTGAGCCAGGAAAGCAGCACCTCTGCCATGGGCAGATTTGGGCACGTGGAGAGAGCTCGAGCAGCTTCCAAGAGGCCACAGCAACGTGTGTGCTGAGCTGGGAGGAGTATGAGTTGCAGAGTCGTGTTTGGAGTCCCCCTGTGTGAGGATGTAGGAATAGTCTGGAGTTTTTGGTGACTGAGGTTTCTTTTCTGTGGCAATAATTGTTCTTGGCCACATAATTTCAGTTTGTTACTCACCTGTGGTTTGCTGTACAGGCCTATTTCCTTTCTCTCGTTACTATGTCACAGTTATCTTCAGCAGAGGCTCAGAAATAACTGAGTTTGAGATTAGATACCTGAACTTCAGTTTGGATTAGATCCACAGGAGGAATCCCTCCTTGTGAAGGTGGGCAGGCCCTGGCACAGCTGTGGCTGCCCCTGGATCCCTGGCAGTGCCCAAGGCCAGGCTGGACAGGGCTGGGAGCAGCCTGGCAAATGTGGGAGGTGTCCCTGCCCTGGCAGGGGTGGCACTTGGTGGGCTTTGAGGTCTCCTCCCACCAAGACCCCCTGTGTCCTCCTTCACCTTCAATCTCTACCTCAGAGTACGTGCCAAAACCAAAATGAGGTTGGTGTCACCTCTGAACTGGGAGAACAGAACACCCCGAGCTGTGGAGAGATGGAGAGGCTGTAGGATGAAGAGGGAGTGTCTGGAAACGAGTCAAGAAACTTTAACAGATTACATTTAGCTAGAGCAGGGTTAGATGTCTGTAAAATATCTTGCTAACTGTGTTAAACTAAGAAAATAAGCAATCAAGTTCATAGAATTGCAAAAGTCAAGACGAAAGAACTTGTGTGGCAGTTACTCTTCTGTGGCAGGATGGTCCCTTCTCTGCAGTCACTAATGACTAAGGAGATGCTCTGCAGCTTGTGAAATGACAGGGCTGCTGTCACTGCTTGGGAAATCCAGTGCTCCTTCCTGTCACCGAGTCACCCTGAGCGCAGCCAGCCCCGAGCGCTGCAGCTGGGCTGCTCTCCCTGTGCCTCTCTCCTGCAGGAATCCGCTTGATTCTCTTTGGAGCTGCTTGCACTAGGTGCCAGCTGGGTGAACCCTTTGCAGCGTGGAGCAGGGCTGGTGCTCTCTGGGGTGAGCTGTGCTCAGAGCTCGGCGTGGCACGGCTCCCTGGGGCTGGGCCAGCCACAATTCCCTGTTCCCTGGAGCTGGGAGCTGTCTCCTCTGGGGTCTGCCACCTCCCCAGGCTCTCAGCCTTTTGCTGCTTCCTGAGTTGCTTTCTTCAGCTCTGTGTTTCATACCCCCTTTTCCCTCACTCTGTCTTTTCTCCACGGTGCTTGGAGTTTTCCTCGGGTTGTCTTGTCTCTTGTCCTTTCTTGGGTCATTAATTCCTGCTGATGATTGTAAAACCTGGGTTATGAACTGCCAGTAGCACCAGGTACCAGCAGGAAGAAAAATCTCCTTATACTCCATGCTGTACAAACCTGGAATAAGGAAGTTCTTGCCCTGAAGTCTTGAACTAATTTTCTTCTGTTAACAGCTCATTAAGAGAAATCTTCCTGCTCATCTTTTTATGGAAAACAACACCTCATGAGGCAGCTCACAGCCCCCTTTTACTGCCCTTTTTTTTTTTTTTACAGTTCATCTTAGTTTTTATTCATGTCACATTTATTGATAAATGACTTGAACGTGCTGCTTTCATGTTTTATAATTAAACAAGTAGAGTGTACATTTACTAATGTGTAGTCCTGTAGTGATGATGTTTTCCAGGAGAGGCTGTTCTATCATTCCATGTCTCTCCCTGTGGCTAGGTGTGCTCCCCTGCAGCCCCACAGCAGTTTCTCACTGTTCCCAGTACTACACTGGGAACACGAAGAGCTAGCAG